TTCTTCGGAGGCAAACCTTGCCTCCGCCCACTCTAGGGCTCTTCCGGTCAATTGGGACAAAATAAAAGTTATTTTCTTTTGATCCGTTGGGAAACTGCCAGGAGAGTTTTGAAAAATCAAACGGCATTGAAACAAAAATCCTTTACAGTCTTTCATATTACCTGAAAACTTTTCAGGAAGGCTAGGTCGGAACTCAGGTGATGACGTCACCGCCGGTGCCCTCGGAGGCGGAACTGGACCCGGAAAAGTGCTACCGGCGTGGCGTTAGCACTGCTCATGTAGTTAGCATAATTCTGAAGCATTTGGTTATGGTAATTGACCATTCTGTGCAACTCACGGAGGGTTTGGGTTTGTCCCTGGATTTGAGCATCTTGCTCCTCCAACCGACGATGGAGGTGATCTGCTGGGCCTTGTGTTTGGCCGCAGTGTTCTGTCATGATGGGTTTCAGAAAAGCCCAGTATGCAGAACACTACGGAGACAGATGAAAAGTTTAACAAGTTTTATTGAGCACAAGCACATGGAATAAACACAGGAACTGGTTCAGGCCTGGGGGCAGGTTCACTGGAGTCTGTGAGGATGACAGTTCAGTTAGCTTGGGAGCAGATGAGTTTGAGAGTTTCTGATTAATACCTTGAGGAGTCCGGGTTTGGCTTTGAGAGAGGAACTGTTGGGTCCAGGGTTTGTTTAGTTCAGCAGAGTTCAGTAACTGCTTCAGCGTCTTGCTTCTAGCGTGAGGGCAGACCTTGACTTTGGATTTCCAGCTCTTAGTCCAGAGCAGCATGAGAATCCAGAGAAGAGTCTTCAGGTTTGGCTCAGAGGGCAGGCTCGGCAGGTTAAGCTCATCCAGAGCTTACAAGGGAAACTGGATTCCTGTAAGCAGAGACAAAGAGGGGTTAGAATCCAACCAGGGAACAGAAGCAACGAAGGTACTCAGGAGATGCTAGGCTCAGGGGCTAACCAAACTGGATAAACACTGCGGCGTTGAGGCAAGGTCTGAAGGCCGGTTATATACTGGAGGATCCTCCTGATGATAAGATGCGCCTCAGGTGTGTCGAAGGCTCAGCTCAGGAGGATCCACGGTGAACTCTTTTGGAGAAAGGTGGAACTTCTCCAGATCCCAACAAATATTCTTTTAGAAAGACTTGAATATTTTGTTGGAATTAAAGGAACAGCACTAGACTGGTTTAAATCTTATCTATCTGATCGAATTCAGTTTGTTCATGTTAATGATAGATCTTCAACATGCTCAAAGGTTACCTGTGGAGTACCACATGGATCAGTGCTAGGACCCATTCTCTTTACTTTATACATGCTCCCCATTGGTAGAATTATTAGACAGCATGGGATTAATTTTCACTGTTATGCTGATGATACCCAGCTATATCTGTCTATAAATCCAGATGAAGCTAACCCATTACATAAATTACAGGCATGTCTGAAGACATAAAAACCTGGATGACTCTTAACTTTCTGCTTCTGAATGCAGACAAAAGAGAAGTTATAGTCTTTGGACCAGAGTCTCTGAAAAATAAGCTGATTAGCCAGTCACTTCATTTGGATGGGATTAAACTGATTTCAGATAATAAAGTAAAAAATCTTGGTGTTATTTTTGATCAGGACCTGTCATTTAAATCCCATATCAAAGAGGTTTCTAGAATTTCCTTCTTTCATCTGAGGAACATTGCAAAAATGAGAAATCTCCTGTCCAGGGGTGATGCTGAGAAACTAGTCCATGCATTTGTTACTTCAAGGCTGGACTATTGTAATTCTTTACTATCAGGAAGTCCACAAACTGTAGTTAAAAGCCTTCAGCTGATCCGAAATGCTGCAGCCAGAGTTCTGATGAAAATTAAAAAGAGAGATCATATCTCTCCTATCCTGGCTTCTCTTCATTGGCTTCCTGTTAAATCAAGAATAGAATTTAAAATCCTCCTTCTCACATATAAAGCCTTAAATGGCCAAGCTCCATCTGATATCAGAGATCTGATTGTTCCTTATGTTCCTAACAGAGCACTTCGCTCTCAATCTGCAGGTTTACTACTGGTTCCTAGAATTTCTAAAAGTAGAACGGGAGGCAGATCTTTTAGTTATCAGGCTCCTCTCCTGTGGAACCAACTACCAGTTTTAGTCCGTGAGGCAGACACCCTGTCTACTTTTAAGGCTAGGCTTAAAACTTTCATTTTTGATAAAGCTTATAGTTAGAGTGGCTCAGGTTATCCTGAGCTATCTCTATAGTTATGCTGCTATAGGCTTAGACTTCTGGAGGACATAGGGACCCCCATTTCATCATTCTGCTTCACTCTCTCTCTATCTCCTATTCTACAGAATCTGTTAGTTCAATCTCTAACGTTCTGCTCTCTCTGCTTTTCCTCAGAGTAGCTTTGCCTCGTCTGTTCCTGTTTGGCTGTGACGTCATCCTGGAAAGAAACATCAGCTGTGCTGCTTCCATCAACACCCTTGTTTATAGATGTTGGAGATCGGCCTGTTTTCCAGTGTGGTCCTGTGACTGGGTGGATGTGCTCTCTTCATCCTCTGACATGGGAGCTGGCTCGGAGCTTGTCTGCCTGGCTGTGTGTTTCCTGGACTTTTGCAGCTGCTTTTTGTATCTCTGCTTCTGTCTCCTTGAACCCCAGTCGGTCTCGGCAGATGGCCGCTCACACTGAGCCTGGTTCTGCTGGAGGTTTCTTCCTGTTCAAAGGGAGTTTTTCCTCTCCACTGTCGCTACAAGCATGCTTAGTGTGAGGGATTGCTGAATAGTCAATGAGTCGATGCAATCAGCTGGTTTTCCTTAGATAGAAAACTTTGAATCAATTTGACTGTATGATCTGGTTGAATTGTAAAATGCCTTGAGATGACATCTGTTGTGAATTGGTGCTACAGAAATAAACTGAGTTGAACTGAATTGAATTCTGTTCATTCGATAATGTTCTCTAACAAACCTTTGGGGCCTGAAACTAAACAGTACCTGAGGTAAAAATTAGGGATGCACGATATAATCGGCCCCCTATCGGTATCGGCCTTAAAACTGAATATCGGACATCGGCCCCCCCACGATATTTAACCCGATATTTGATCAGCTTCTGGGTTTCTAAAGTCTAAAAAAAAAAATAAATAAATACTACTTCTTCTTCTTCCTCAAAAGCTTCTTTTTTACAGACTTAAAAACTTCTAAAGACGAGGGAAAAAATATTGATACATGGTCTCCATGATTCTCGGAAAGAAGTATCTATGCTTTTTTTTTTATCTCTGCTTCTGTCTCCTTGAACCCCAGTGGGCCTCAGCAGATGGCCGCTCACACTGAGCCTGGTTCTGCTGGAGGTTTCTTCCTGTTCAAAGGGAGTTTTTCCTCTCCACTGTCGCTACAAGCATGCTTAGTGTGAGGGATTGCTGAATAGTCAATGAGTCGATGCAATCAACTGGTTTTCCTTAGATAGAAAACTTTGTATCAATTTGACTGTATGATCTGGTTGAACTGTAAAGTGCCTTGAGATGACATGTGTTGTGAATTTGGCGCTATATAAATAAACTGAATTGAATTGAATTAGAAACTGGCAGGGTGATGATAAATTAAAGATAAATGAGAAATTATCAGGACGAATTTGATTAAGTATTTTTTTATTCATTATGTTGGTTTAAATTAAATAGCTTGCAAAATCTATATTTAAAGTGTTTATTTTATGTTTATCTCTTTATTTATTTTTCTCTGGGGGTGAGTCTTGTTTCCTTTAACTCATTATTAGTTGGTGGAGGTAATGAACTTAATTAGTTTGCCAACCGTCATAAAACAACACAAGAAGAAGGAGAAACACAAGAAATTGCTGATCTTGGTTTGTGACTTGACTGCTTGGTGTCTCAGGTTGAGGATGATGGAGGGGATGAGATCGATTTAGGTGACTGGACCCCAGGGGATGGTAGTAAAGGATCTGCAAGAGATTGAAAAGGAGATAATTTTTCAGATACACAAAGTATTAAATGGAGTGTTAAAGAAAATAGTTCGGATTAAAGTAATGTGCGTAAGAGCATAGCTAAGGAAACTAAACTAATCATAAAGTTTAGGAAGGATGATGAAAGTATTAAACTCAGTCCGTCAGCTCTTTCCAGGGAATAAAAAAAGAAGTTTGGAGAGTTGACATTTGCTAAGATCCTTAGAGATGTGAATCTGTTGTTTACAGTGAGAAATGAAGAACAGAAAAACAAAGTGATGAGCACATAGAGTATTTTCAAATAAAATGATTGCCCAGATAAAGATTTTGGGAGTTGATACAGTAGTAAGAGGGGTGATCACAGGTATTACAATGGGGGAAGATCTAGAACAATTCAGACGCAGTGTTATAAAGGTGAAGTAAGTCAAATTGAAAGACTGATGAGAAGAGCTGAAGGTGAAAGAGTGGGAAGTCTTGATAATGCAGGAGTTTCAAACAAATGTTGTTGCTGAAAGGGTAAAAGCCTCTTCCTCTGAGGTGTTATAAATGCCAGAGATGTGGACACGTCGCGGCAACATTTAGGGGAAACAAAAATCATAGAGCATAATTATGATGAATGTAAAAATGGAGAGGAAATATGTTGTAATTATAGAGGGCAACACAATTCATTACAAGAAAGTCATGTGACCGATACAGGAGTTGTTTCTAACTGACTCACTAAACTGTGTTTAAAACGTATCTGTCAACATGATGCCTCTGCTAAAAACTGGCTAGTGTGTGGATTTCTTTACATGGGTTAGTTACGGTTGATTCAAGACAAAGTTATTGTCAATTATTTGCATGTTTGCCATTTCACCACATACTACACTGAAATACTAAATGGCCTAAAACATGAAAATCTATTTTGGTTGACATGTTTTTTTCAAGAGTCAGTTTTGCTGACCGTGATGGCTGGTGGCTAATGGTAAAAATAAAAAGGTTTGAAAAAATTGTGGTTTTTGAGCACACACCTAGGGTGGATGCTTACAACAGGTATTCAACACCAAGGCTGTTTCTGCCAGGTTTCGAACCTGGGACCTTTTGCGTGTGAGGCAAACGTGATGACCACTACACTACAGAAACCCCCCTTTTCTATTCTACAATGGATGGAAAGACAAGTATGGGTAAGGATTAATGAAAAATTCAGACAAGGAATACCAATGTGGAGTTTCTGCACATTGCACTGGACCTGACTAAGCCCGTTTGAATGTGTAGAGGATTGACTGGTACTGTTGTAAGCTAGCCAGTTATCTGTTGGTGAAAATAAAACACATATCCCACAATTGGGACGATACATATTTTCTCTATTGTATCCAGCCTCTAGTGTGTGGATTTCTTTACATGGGTTAGTTACGGTTGATTCAAGACAAAGTTATTGTCAATTATTTGCATGTTTGCCATTTCACCACATACTACACTGAAATACTAAATGGCCTAAAACATGAAAATCTATTTTGGTTGACATGTTTTTTTCAAGAGTCAGTTTTGCTGACCGTGATGGCTGGTGGCTAATGGCAAAAATAAAAAGGTTTGAAAAAATGGTGGTTTTTGAGCACACACCTAGGGTGGATGCTTACAACAGGTATTCAACACCAAGGCTGTTTCTGCCAGGTTTCGAAACTGGGACCTTTTGCGTGTGAGGCAAACGTGATGACCACTACACTACAGAAACCCCCCTTTTCTATTCTACAATGGATGGAAAGACAAGTATGGGTAAGGATTAATGAAAAATTCAGACAAGGAATACCAATGTGGAGTTTCTGCACATTGCACTGGACCTGACTAAGCCCGTTTGAATGTGTAGAGGATTGACTGGTACTGTTGTAAGCTAGCCAGTTATCTGTTGGTGAAAATAAAACACATATCCCACAATTGGGACGATACATATTTTCTCTATTGTATCCAGCCTCTAGTGTGTGGATTTCTTTACATGGGTTAGTTACGGTTGATTCAAGACAAAGTTATTGTCAATTATTTGCATGTTTGCCATTTCACCACATACTACACTGAAATACTAAATGGCCTAAAACATGAAAATCTATTTTGGTTGACATGTTTTTTTCAAGAGTCAGTTTTGCTGACCGTGATGGCTGGTGGCTAATGGCAAAAATAAAAAGGTTTGAAAAAATGGTGGTTTTTGAGCACACACCTAGGGTGGATGCTTACAACAGGTATTCAACACCAAGGCTGTTTCTGCCAGGTTTCGAACCTGGGACCTTTTGCGTGTTAGGCAAACGTGATGACCACTACACTACAGAAACCCCCCTTTTCTATTCTACAATGGATGGAAAGACAAGTATGGGTAAGGATTAATGAAAAATTCAGACAAGGAATACCAATGTGGAGTTTCTGCACATTGCACTGGACCTGACTAAGCCCGTTTGAATGTGTAGAGGATTGACTGGTACTGTTGTAAGCTAGCCAGTTATCTGTTGGTGAAAATAAAACACATATCCCACAATTGGGACGATACATATTTTCTCTATTGTATCCAGCCTCTAGTGTGTGGATTTCTTTACATGGGTTAGTTACGGTTGATTCAAGACAAAGTTATTGTCAATTATTTGCATGTTTGCCATTTCACCACATACTACACTGAAATACTAAATGGCCTAAAACATGAAAATCTATTTTGGTTGACATGTTTTTTTCAAGAGTCAGTTTTGCTGACCGTGATGGCTGGTGGCTAATGGCAAAAATAAAAAGGTTTGAAAAAATGGTGGTTTTTGAGCACACACCTAGGGTGGATGCTTACAACAGGTATTCAACACCAAAAACTGTTTCTGCCAGGTTTCGAAACTGGGACCTTTTGCGTGTGAGGCAAACGTGATGACCACTACACTACAGAAACCCCCCTTTTCTATTCTACAATGGATGGAAAGACAAGTATGGGTAAGGATTAATGAAAAATTCAGACAAGGAATACCAATGTGGAGTTTCTGCACATTGCACTGGACCTGACTAAGCCCGTTTGAATGTGTAGAGGATTGACTGGTACTGTTGTAAGCTAGCCAGTTATCTGTTGGTGAAAATAAAACACATATCCCACAATTGGGAGAATACATATTTTCTCTATTGTATCCAGCCTCTAGTGTGTGGATTTCTTTACATGGGTTAGTTACGGTTGATTCAAGACAAAGTTATTGTCAATTATTTGCATGTTTGCCATTTCACCACATACTACACTGAAATACTAAATGGCCTAAAACATGAAAATCTATTTTGGTTGACATGTTTTTTTCAAGAGTCAGTTTTGCTGACCGTGATGGCTGGTGGCTAATGGTAAAAATAAAAAGGTTTGAAAAAATGGTGGTTTTTGAGCACACACCTAGGGTGGATGCTTACAACAGGTATTCAACACCAAGGCTGTTTCTGCCAGGTTTCGAACCTGGGACCTTTTGCGTGTGAGGCAAACGTGATGACCACTACACTACAGAAACCCCCCTTTTCTATTCTACAATGGATGGAAAGACAAGTATGGGTAAGGATTAATGAAAAATTCAGACAAGGAATACCAATGTGGAGTTTCTGCACATTGCACTGGACCTGACTAAGCCCGTTTGAATGTGTAGAGGATTGACTGGTACTGTTGTAAGCTAGCCAGTTATCTGTTGGTGAAAATAAAACACATATCCCACAATTGGGACGATACATATTTTCTCTATTGTATCCAGCCTCTAGTGTGTGGATTTCTTTACATGGGTTAGTTACGGTTGATTCAAGACAAAGTTATTGTCAATTATTTGCATGTTTGCCATTTCACCACATACTACACTGAAATACTAAATGGCCTAAAACATGAAAATCTATTTTGGTTGACATGTTTTTTTCAAGAGTCAGTTTTGCTGACCGTGATGGCTGGTGGCTAATGGCAAAAATAAAAAGGTTTGAAAAAATTGTGGTTTTTGAGCACACACCTAGGGTGGATGCTTACAACAGGTATTCAACACCAAGGCTGTTTCTGCCAGGTTTCGAAACTGGGACCTTTTGCGTGTGAGGCAAACGTGATGACCACTACACTACAGAAACCCCCCTTTTCTATTCTACAATGGATGGAAAGACAAGTATGGGTAAGGATTAATGAAAAATTCAGACAAGGAATACCAATGTGGAGTTTCTGCACATTGCACTGGACCTGACTAAGCCCGTTTGAATGTGTAGAGGATTGACTGGTACTGTTGTAAGCTAGCCAGTTATCTGTTGGTGAAAATAAAACACATATCCCACAATTGGGACGATACATATTTTCTCTATTGTATCCAGCCTCTAGTGTGTGGATTTCTTTACATGGGTTAGTTACGGTTGATTCAAGACAAAGTTATTGTCAATTATTTGCATGTTTGCCATTTCACCACATACTACACTGAAATACTAAATGGCCTAAAACATGAAAATCTATTTTGGTTGACATGTTTTTTTCAAGAGTCAGTTTTGCTGACCGTGATGGCTGGTGGCTAATGGCAAAAATAAAAAGGTTTGAAAAAATTGTGGTTTTTGAGCACACACCTAGGGTGGATGCTTACAACAGGTATTCAACACCAAGGCTGTTTCTGCCAGGTTTCGAACCTGGGACCTTTTGCGTGTGAGGCAAACGTGATGACCACTACACTACAGAAACCCCCCTTTTCTATTCTACAATGGATGGAAAGACAAGTATGGGTAAGGATTAATGAAAAATTCAGACAAGGAATACCAATGTGGAGTTTCTGCACATTGCACTGGACCTGACTAAGCCCGTTTGAATGTGTAGAGGATTGACTGGTACTGTTGTAAGCTAGCCAGTTATCTGTTGGTGAAAATAAAACACATATCCCACAATTGGGACGATACATATTTTCTCTATTGTATCCAGCCTCTAGTGTGTGGATTTCTTTACATGGGTTAGTTACGGTTGATTCAAGACAAAGTTATTGTCAATTATTTGCATGTTTGCCATTTCACCACATACTACACTGAAATACTAAATGGCCTAAAACATGAAAATCTATTTTGGTTGACATGTTTTTTTCAAGAGTCAGTTTTGCTGACCGTGATGGCTGGTGGCTAATGGCAAAAATAAAAAGGTTTGAAAAAATGGTGGTTTTTGAGCACACACCTAGGGTGGATGCTTACAACAGGTATTCAACACCAAAAACTGTTTCTGCCAGGTTTCGAAACTGGGACCTTTTGCGTGTGAGGCAAACGTGATGACCACTACACTACAGAAACCCCCCTTTTCTATTCTACAATGGATGGAAAGACAAGTATGGGTAAGGATTAATGAAAAATTCAGACAAGGAATACCAATGTGGAGTTTCTGCACATTGCACTGGACCTGACTAAGCCCGTTTGAATGTGTAGAGGATTGACTGGTACTGTTGTAAGCTAGCCAGTTATCTGTTGGTGAAAATAAAACACATATCCCACAATTGGGACGATACATATTTTCTCTATTGTATCCAGCCTCTAGTGTGTGGATTTCTTTACATGGGTTAGTTACGGTTGATTCAAGACAAAGTTATTGTCAATTATTTGCATGTTTGCCATTTCACCACATACTACACTGAAATACTAAATGGCCTAAAACATGAAAATCTATTTTGGTTGACATGTTTTTTTCAAGAGTCAGTTTTGCTGACCGTGATGGCTGGTGGCTAATGGTAAAAATAAAAAGGTTTGAAAAAATGGTGGTTTTTGAGCACACACCTAGGGTGGATGCTTACAACAGGTATTCAACACCAAGGCTGTTTCTGCCAGGTTTCGAACCTGGGACCTTTTGCGTGTGAGGCAAACGTGATGACCACTACACTACAGAAACCCCCCTTTTCTATTCTACAATGGATGGAAAGACAAGTATGGGTAAGGATTAATGAAAAATTCAGACAAGGAATACCAATGTGGAGTTTCTGCACATTGCACTGGACCTGACTAAGCCCGTTTGAATGTGTAGAGGATTGACTGGTACTGTTGTAAGCTAGCCAGTTATCTGTTGGTGAAAATAAAACACATATCCCACAATTGGGACGATACATATTTTCTCTATTGTATCCAGCCTCTAGTGTGTGGATTTCTTTACATGGGTTAGTTACGGTTGATTCAAGACAAAGTTATTGTCAATTATTTGCATGTTTGCCATTTCACCACATACTACACTGAAATACTAAATGGCCTAAAACATGAAAATCTATTTTGGTTGACATGTTTTTTTCAAGAGTCAGTTTTGCTGACCGTGATGGCTGGTGGCTAATGGTAAAAATAAAAAGGTTTGAAAAAATTGTGGTTTTTGAGCACACACCTAGGGTGGATGCTTACAACAGGTATTCAACACCAAGGCTGTTTCTGCCAGGTTTCGAACCTGGGACCTTTTGCGTGTGAGGCAAACGTGATGACCACTACACTACAGAAACCCCCCTTTTCTATTCTACAATGGATGGAAAGACAAGTATGGGTAAGGATTAATGAAAAATTCAGACAAGGAATACCAATGTGGAGTTTCTGCACATTGCACTGGACCTGACTAAGCCCGTTTGAATGTGTAGAGGATTGACTGGTACTGTTGTAAGCTAGCCAGTTATCTGTTGGTGAAAATAAAACACATATCCCACAATTGGGACGATACATATTTTCTCTATTGTATCCAGCCTCTAGTGTGTGGATTTCTTAAACTGTCCAGCAGGTGTCAGTATTCTGTAAGACAGTATCAACTATATACAGTATACTATACTCTATGTATACTATATGGAAAAGAAAGGATGTATAGACAAATACCAATTTTTTTGAAAAGCACAAGTAAACAAGGACAGTCTTGTAGTCTTAGTAATATTTAGTCATTGCTTTACCAACTTAGTCTTAGTCTATATGACGAAAATCAATTTTAGTCTTGGTCAAAGTTTAGTAATTTTAGCTGTTGCTTTAGATTCATTGTGTTCTTCGCTGCCAATTTGAAGCCGCAGACTCTTTGGTGGCGTCCTCCTGTGTCTCCACATCTTGGCCACCACTGGCATCTGATGCATGATCAATCATTATCATGCAGGTTTCTTTTTGTTCTTTTGTTCTAAACAAAATGACTCCATTCATCCAGGCGTTATTTTCACCCAGCTCCTCTAACAAACCATACACCGGTATCCGAGCCCAACGTCATGACTGCGAAATGGGCAAGCTACGGTTAAATACTACCAGGGATTCTAGTAGTACAATTCAATTCAATTCAACTCAGTTTATTTCTATAGCGCCAATTCACAACAGATGTCATCTCAAAGAACTTTTCAGTTTAACCTGATCATTCAGTCAAATTGATTCAGAGTTTTCTATCTAAGGAAAACCAGCTGATTGCATCGACTCATTGACTCTTCAACAATCCCTCACACTAAGCATGCTTGTAGCGACAGTGGAGAGGAAAAACTCCCTTTGAACAGGAAGAAACCGCCAGCTGAACCAGGCTCAGTGTGAGCGGCCATCTGCTGAGGCCGACTGGGGTTCAAGGAGACAGAAGCAGAGATACAAGCCCTTTGCTACTACTGATTGAGCGGCGCAAGGAACTGTGGGACAGGCGCCATGTACGTAGGGACAAACAGGACAACAACGCGTACTTTTCTATGGATTTCAAGAAACACTTTCACAATTACAAATTAATTATAAACAATTACATTTTTATGTCCATTCGTCCGGAACTCAACGCTATTTCTGACATTTTGAATTGAAAAGGCTTCCTGGATGGGAAGCAAAATGTATCCTGAAAATAAATGAAACAAAGTCCAGTGGATTGTTTTTTAACGTTTTTGGAATTCCCAGAGATTCATATTATAATAGGAAAGAGGACCTGTTCTAATATACCACACAGGAAAAATGCCAGCAATTCTGTTCACGGTACAATGGGTAGAGGAAATAAGATCACTGAGAGTTCATTATTTGTTTAGATTCATCATCATCACTAATCAGTTTACAGAGAAGTCACTCAGATGTTAGAGCAGATATTGATAGAAATGCAGCAAACAGAATGATGGCATCACAGTCATATTTATGTGGGCACCAGCATAGAGTGGAGTTAAAGGAAATGAAATGGCAGATAATGCTGCAAAGGAGGCCACAGCAAGAGAAATCATGGATGTGTCAGTTAAAATGAGTAAGATTGAAACAAAGAACTTTATTAAACAGAAGCTGAAGGAAAGGTGGCAAAAGCAACGGAAAGAATAGAGGAAAGGACAGTTTGACACGATTCAGAGGAGAGAGGGAGAAATTAGATGTGCAGGAAGGAACAGAAGAGAAGAAACTATTATATCAAGGCTTAGGTTTGGGTACGCAGGATTAAATAGTACATTATTCAAAATAGGTAAACATAACAATGGCAGATGTGAATACTGTGAGAAACAAGAAACAGTTGAACACGTTATGGTATACTGTAGGAAGTATGAAAGAGAAAGGAAAGAATTGTTCAAAATCTGAAAATGGAAAGAATACAATTTGATTTAATAGAAATACTTAGAAAAACCTCAAGAGATAAGTGTTATGTAATTATTTTTCATTATCTTAGATTAATAAATGTAATTGAGAGGATCTGAATCTTATTTTGGTTTTGTTGATATTGTCTTGTTACTTTGATTGTGACTTGTTTGTTAAGTATAAATTAGTAGCCATTCTGATCCACACTCCATACCAGTTGGTGGCGGTAATGCTCCATTATGCTGCGTGACAACAGCCAGTAAGGTAGCCTAAAGAAGAAGAAGACCGTTAAGATCTTCCGGTCTGTGCTGGGACACATCTGTTGAGGACAAATGGCTGCAAGGTTACTGCTCCGCTCCGCTCTGAGAACCGCGGCGACGTGCCGCGGTGCCCGGGCACCGGCTCCGCTTCTAGCCCCGGCTCTAAGCCGCAGCATGGCAACTGGAGGTGAGGCCGACCCGGACACAGAATAACCTACACTGCAGGCTGACATGTTAGCTAGGCTAATCACTATGACGGTCGGACGCTCTCTTTTTCCATGTTTTAAAATGACAGGTTCGGCTCTGCTGTTTGTGGTAAAACATCCTGGTTGTAGGAGGTGGTACCGGCCATGTTTGGTTCAGGTCGGCTGGTTCTGAAGGTCCAAGTCCTCAGAAATGAAGCTAGAAGCTAACCAGTCACTTAGCATTAGCCTAGCCTAGCCTGGACCTTAGATAAGAAGGTCAGTGGTTCTGGAGAGAGCTGCTTGATGTTTAGTCTGATTGGTTCATTATTAGTAGGACGCGAGCGGCTCTCAGGAGTTTCACCCTCAGACAGGCGGCCCCTTAATTATTATTATTATTATTAAACACCATGGAACCCCGACCTTGATAGACAGTCAGACTGACACGCTCCGAGCCAGCTCCCATGTCAGAGGATGAAGAGAGCACATCCAGTTAGTCACAGTCAGAGAAACAGGACTACACTGAAAAACAGGCTGATGTCCAGCATCTAGAAGCAAAGGTGTTGATGGCAGCACCTCAGCTGATATTTCTCTCCAGGATGGAATCAGTGTCAGTTAGGAAGTTAGACTGTAGGATAGGGACTCATACTGATATTTATTTCCACCTCGGTGTGTCAGTAAGGAGCACAGACAGGTTCCCTATACTTTCTTTGTTCTTTAATTGTTATCAGGCGATATACATCAGCCTCTCCATATTCACACTGATACAGACGTCAGCATAGCTGAAACACCTGTGGATATTATTGTGTGGTCTAAAAAGGAAAGTAATAAAAAGATCAGAAATGCCTGCTGTATGTATTAATAAAAACGAATTAAAACGACTCACAATATCACTTAACAACATTTGCATCAAGAAAGTATGATAGCTTATCATAACCAAAGCTTAAACACTCTTAACATCTGTGCTTATCAAGGTTCTTTAAACAAACATTGCCTCAGCTGTGATTAGCATTAGCCTGTAGCTTCCACCATGAACACTCTTAACATTACAGAACTATTAATCAGATGCAACATGGATTCTGAAGGACAAGACAGAATCGATGCCCATTTATGTGGCATTGCATCATCCTATTATTTAAACTATAAAACATTAAATAACGCCACAAAATGCAACGACTCAATAATTAACATGTTCCGTAGTTTGCAGCCAAAGGTCATGGTTTACCCATTTATTGATATCTGCGCGTTCCGAACCTCGAGCTCGGTTGATTAAAAACGCTGCCAGTTTTTGTACAGTTAGCGGCGTCGGTTTCCAGAACTTTCTTCGCGCCGCCTTTTCTCTTTTACTCTCCATCTTTGAGACGCCATTGACTGACCTGTTGCTTCAGGCTCTTAGCTAGGAATGTTTCATAGAGTATTCACCTTTGTGAATCAAATCTTTAGGCTTAGGGAAGCCATGAGATCACTTTAGGTACAATATTATGTTTCATAGGATAATTCAAACAATCAGGAAGTGTAACTTATACTTACTGCTAAACATGTTACATATAAAACAGGTTTAACAATCTGCAGACTGAGGCATAAGTGGCTTACGGTTTCTAATATTCTTAGTACGTATCGCTATCTAAGAGTTTGCTGCCAGTATAGATGGAGGCAGCCCAGAGATGGCGGTAATGGTGCAGGCGATCCAATCATGGCTGAACCAGCATTAAGAAATAAAATTTAAAAAAGATCAACTGCCTTTGCTGCCTAAAAATAAGATCGGTCCTCCTGACAGCCGTACATTAGTTTGGACCGAACCATGAGCCTAACCATGTCCCAGATGGTGACGGGCTCATTTTGATGAGGTGTATCGGGTTAGTTTGACTCAGAGCTGGTTTGTCTGTTACACTAAGTCCTCAGTAGTGTGATCCTGTGTGTTGCAGGTATTCCCACTGATGAGGAGCAGGCCACTGGGCTGGAGAAGATCATCATGAAGGCCATGAAGGAGGGAGCGGTAACCTGTCTTCATCCTGCTAACTAATACCAGCTTTATCCAAATAACCCAGGCTTGTCTTTGGGGATAATTACAGTTTATGAAACAATGTTGATTTCATGTCATTTGTAGAGCCGATAAATTTTTTGTTTTGTTTAGATTCACGATTTGAATCGCATGTCTAAAATACTGTTTTTCATCTCAAGGTTCTAGGCTCATATTATAGAATATCAATCCTAGTCTTCAGTGAGAATCAATGAAGATGTAGAATTTCCTTTTCAACCTTTTTAACTTTAGGAAAAGGTGCAATACAGACCAACGTCCTCATATTAGCTACAATAACAGTAACACTTTTTTTACATTTTTTTAAAGGACACTTTTTACTTTTACTTGAGTAAAAATATAACCAAGTAGTGCTACTGTTACTCAAGCACCATTTTCGATATTCTACCCGCCTCTGTCTGTGAAATCAGGGGTTTTCTTCTATTTGTTTTAGACTCTGTTAAAACTCCTTAAATTGAAAATATTTCCCTCTGAGATGTAAATATTACGTTGGCCGGGAAGTGCAAACCAACAATACAAAATCTGAAGCACTTTTACAAATCTTGAAACAACTTTTCAGGAAACACTTTTACAACTGACAAATCCGACAGAAAGGGAGGGACTGCCTTCGGAACTTACCCGGAAGTGATAACCGGAGCGTTCATGATGATGGAAGCTAATCGAGTTGCGTTTTGCCCATGTTTTTTTTTTTTTTTTTTTTACCTTTATTTAACCAGGAAGTCCCATTGAGATTCAGAATCTCTTTTTCAAGAGAGACCTGGCCAAGGTAGCAGCCAAACCACAGGAAGGTCTCTTAAACTCTGTTAGAAAGCTGACATATATGAGCTGTTTTCACCGATCAGGAGCGCCTTGAAAATGGTCAGATCTCCTCTCTGGCTGCAATGCGTGCTCCCGACTCAGGGGGAACAGATTTTCACAGGGAAGCAGAATTTTGCACAAGACCTGCATCGTTCAGTTTGCTTTTCAGAGACCTCAAGCTGATGTGTACACCATGTAAACATGACATGTCTACGATTACAGCGTACAAGTGACCCTCATTATGCACTGCTGCAGCATATCTGGTTCTTCCATCTGTTCTGTACCATTTTAAAAACTCCAAGGACCGACCACAGGAAAAACAAAACCGCGTTAAACTGCTCATATGAGTGCCGCAGAACGGGCAAAACGCAACTCGATTAGCTTCCATCTTGGGTTATCCGGTTATCACTTCTGGGTAAGCTTCGAAGGCAGTCCCTCCCTTTCCATCGGATTTTGTCAGTTGTAAAAGTGTTTCCTGAAATGTAAAGTTGTTTCAAGATTTGTAAAAGTGCTTCAGATTTTGTATTGTTGGTTTGCACTTCCCGGCCAACGTAAAATATTACTGTGAACCAATCAATGGCTCCCATCATCCTCTTCCTCCTCTCTCTGCAGGATCCGTACAACATGATGAAGCCAAAGAGCTATGCTGGCTCCAGGGCCGACCCCCACCTGGTTCCCTCCATCACTAACAAGAGGATCGTGGGCTGTGTCTGTAGGTTGCTCTTCTTCCACCCATTAACTTTTAGGCTGCACTTGTTTTATTCCTGCTAGAAGTTAACGTTGCTCACAGGGAACAAGATTAAGCTCTTAATTAAAGACGTCCATCATCTCTGCTCCAATAGAACCGGTTTCTTTAGGGTTTAAGTTTTAAAACATTCCCGGGTTTCCTCTCCTCACGTCTTTGGTTGATTTGTGCAGGTGAGGAAGACAACACGGCTGTGGTCTGGTTCTGGCTTCATGAGGGCGAGCCCCAGCGATGCCCATCCTGCGGCTCCCACTACAAACTGGTGGCCCATCATCTCCCCCATTAACCTTTAATTGGAGCGATCTCCAGTTCCAGATGGGTTTGGTTTCCACGTTCTGCTTGGCGTTTTGCCCGGCCTGATGTTCTGCTGGATCACTCCATCCACCTGTTAACCTCAGCTTTTATTTTACACCTTACATGTTGAATCTGCTTTATGTTTTAGGGACCTTCATCTTCAGTTTACATTGACAGTTGTACTGTATCTTGTTACATTTGGACCACTCCTCTTATTTAACCAATAAATTGCTGAACCTGTATGTCTGTTTGCTTCAGGATGATTCTAGTTCCGATTTTTATTGTTTTAAGATTAAAATTACAAAGCGCTGAAATTGGTTTTCAAAACAACCTATCTCATATTTATACTTTCTAATCTAGGAATATTTTTGGTTGGTTTATTTCAAATCTCTTAAGCCGTGCATAAACCATACAATTTATTTGCCCTTTTTGGGCCGATTCCAGTCATGCAAGAAATTTTCGATCGGGCCGACTTTCAGCCTGATCGTGCGTCATGTAGTATACAGGGGGTGACGAGGGGCGCTTAGCCTCTCATGACCCCCTCCCCATCAGGAATCGTAAGGTTGGGAGAAAATAAAACATGCAAGATGGTCATGGGCAAACAGGGATGATTCTTCTTCTTCCTCTTAGATGAAAACCCAGAAGCATGGCGGGGTGTGAGTGAAATGGAATTCTTTCTGTAAACTGACAGACCGTAGCAGCCATGCTTGCTCAGGCATGTCTTTGTCTAAATACGTCGCTAACTTTTCTTTTTAGGGCTTTCAGTGCACAAATTGCCAAGGCAGCGTGTTTCACTCTAGTGAGCTTCATATTTGACAGGTTTTGTTGCTCTTCTACTCATTTGGCTTCTGTATAGATGAGTCGAGTAACGCCATCTCACTGCGGAGCTGAAGACGACGGGGTTTTTAGATGTACAGTATGAGCAGGTAGATCGCATCAGAGTGTCGGGTCGCACGGTGCGAGATCAAGTTCTGGCTCCTAATGACCATTTAGACAAGCCTGATGTATGAAAAATCTGGCAAGAAACGCTGACGTACGTTGGATAAGTTATGGGTCACTTTTGTATAATCAGAATCAAAAATACTTTAATAATCCCACAGAGAAATTACTTTTGTTACACACTCCAGTTATAGTTTTATATATATATATATCCAACTACACAAGATAATAAAGATAAAAAGATAAAATATGTACACATATAGCTCTTCTGTATGTATGTATATATACGTAGTACGTAGATGCATTTTGAGCATGCTCGAATGTAGTGCAGTAGCATTATAAAGTCTGGCAGCAGGGATGAATGACCTGCGGAATCACTCCTTTCAGTACACGGAGTCTGCAAGTCTGTTACTAAAGGCAGGGGTGGATTTAGGGAATTTGGGGCCCTAGGCAAAGACAGGCAGGGGGCCCTCTGAATTGAGAAGACAAAACATAAAACACCCATTATACAGATAGAGAAATTTTAACAGAAAAGACATGAATTATTTGATCTATGTTGTGTCTCTCTCTTGTTGTTTTCCTCCCTTTTTTTGTACTCAGCTGACTTTTCATGCTGCCTCAAAAGCAATGAAAGATTTTTTTTTCCAATCCCTAAGCTCACTTACAGTAGCTGATCAAAAAAGGCGATGGGAAAAGTAAACCCAGTCCTTCTTTTCACTGTAGATAAGCCATGATCTGCTTATCTCAGGGCTGTCAACTCTCACCCATTTCGGTGTCTTCACACACACTCACTCCATATTCCCAATTTCTCACACTAAAAAAATGACATACATTAAAACTCAACTCCATTCCACTTACATTTGAAAATACCATGGTGATAAAAATCCAGTCAGCACTAAGGTTTTATTAAAAACGCGAACACAACCGTCTGTATTTCCACCTATTCACTGTGTCAGATACTGAAAAAATACAGTATTGACTTATGAGGTATGTCGTTTTAATTTTTGTTATCTCATTTACACTAGGATAATTCTCTTTGTAAAATTTTGGAGATTTTAAGCAATCTAGTACTTGAGTAAATATGAATAAAAAATACAGCACCTAGCTTAAATTACTGCTGTGGAGTAGGATCACATTAAATGGTTTGTTTTCTTTACCTGATGCTTTTTTAAGTCTTAGTTTTAGTCCATGTTTTGCTCACAAGTGAAATAATTATTGCTCAGTCTAGTTTAATAATCTCCCGTTCACATTTAGGAGTAATTAAACCAACACAAATATTTTAAAACCCATAGGAGCTCCACAAAAAGAAAAAGAACCATTGTATTTTATTTTTGAAAAGCTCAGCCGCATTCAGAGAGGGTGTGCAGAACAACTCATTTATCCTGGATTCATAGACATATTATATTCATTTATCTTTATTTTTGGTTCATTGAATATGTTAAAAACTTAATTTCTATCACACCTTCCAAACTGAAACACCCAGAGAAGTGCTGTCTCCTGCCATGGTGAGTTTTTATAAAATCTACAGCCGTTTTGTCAATTGTAAGAAAAACGAATCACATAATGAATGAAGCTTTTAATCCTTAGCCTATTACCAGATATTTATACACAGTTTAGTTTGCATGGGTTCAGTGCCAGTAATCCAGGAATAGGTTATTAGTTCCCCATTGTTTAATTTACTTGAACTGCAGAGAATACTTAATGAACAAAGTTGTTAAATTCTTAGTTTAAAGCAGGAGTGCCCAACCTTTTTTAAACCAAGATCTACTTTTAAAGTTGATGGCATGCCGAGATCTACCAAGCCAAACACATCGGATGGGCAGTATTTGTTTCTTTATTTGCACTGGTGGAGAATAAACACTAAGTCCAACAAACCAGGAAATTATCAATTGTGTCAAAAAATAGGTTGCAAAAACAGAATTTAACAATCTCATAAGAACTTCACACCATATCTCTCTCTTTCTCTGTCTCACTCACTCATCTACGGAAGAGGATTAGAGCCACTGGGGGAAAAAAAAAAGGTAACTGATTCTTAAATTCTATTTCAGTTTAACAAGGGAAAGAAAAGTAAAAAAAAAAAGTTAACCGATTTATAAATTTTATTTCAGTTTAATATGGGGGGAAAAAAAGTCAGAATTCTGAATTTTTTCTCAAAATTCAGACTTTTTAAAAAGTGAAATCCTCTGAAAACCTCAAACTTTTAGCTGCACCTGTCCTCATCTAACGCTGACAGGGTTTCCTGTCCAAACTATTTCAAAATCTCACCCCAAGGTTTGGTCAAAAGCTGGCAGCCCTCTGTTATCTGTTCTCCATTTTTCATTTGGATGAAATAATAGCTGCATGAATCATGACAGCAGACAAGATAGAGGAGAGCAGGAGGCGGGGTTACCAATCTACTGGCTCTGGAGAGCAGAGTTCGCTGCTTTTAGATGTTGTCTCCAAAGTCTCCAGTAGCAGAAAAAAGTCTCTAGATTTGGCGCTAGGAGCTTTTTAGAAATCAAATTGCTAGAGGGGTCTGAAAAGTGGCTAAATATAGCGACTAAAGTGCTAAGTTGGCAACACTGCTCTTTGCATCGTATGTTTTCAAAAAATGGGGGGGGGGGGGGGGGCTCATTATCCTTCTGTTATTTTATTTTCTGATCTCAAGCAAGTTAATGAGTATATGTATATAAATGTGTTGCATGTGTGTTGATATAAATGAGAAGAGAAACACAAATGGCTGCAGCTGCCTGGTCGGGTGAAAGAGGCATGCATTGTGGAGTGGAACAATGGCCGCTGCCGCTAGCGTCATGCTGTGGACTTGGAGGCAGCATCCATGAGCTGACTGGATTCTCTGAGGCCCCGCCTGCACTGGACAAGTTGTTGCTGCCTTAATGTTTGTCTGTTATGCTGCGTTCACACCGGGGGCAGCTGGCGCGACAGAAGCAGCGAGTTTACATGCAAAGTCAATGGTTGACGCGCGTCAAGGCGCAGCAAAAGGTCCCGCGGCGCGTTTCGAGCAGCAAGCGCAGCGAGTCTGAGCAGCTGAAGCAGCGCGTCGGGCGCGTTTTGGCATCTGACGCGCGTGACGCGCCGCAAACGCGTTGCTGCTCGAGATGGAAAAATTGAATTTTTGCTGCTCGACGCGCCGCGTCAACCAATCAGAGAAGCTGATCTGGGAGCTGGCTGGGAGAGAGACACAGCGCTGATGACACAGACTGCTCTGATCACTTCTCTTAAACAGTTTATTAAAGCATAATTAATTTAAAATATATACATCTGCCGGCAGAATATGTTCGCTTTTATTATTCTGGTGCCTGCAGATCGGATTATTTAGATGAAAAACACCTACCAGCCACCGCGGTAAACCGCGAGGAGGCGACCCGACCAGAGGCTGCTGATTAATGGATTCCTTCTGTCGGCGCACCGCCGGTATGTGGGGGTCTGAGCGGCTCCGACAGAAATAACAGTGGGAGGCAGGATTGTAATCTGGATGAACTGACTCCACTGATGAAGTTTTCAGGTGTATTTTCTCACTTAAAAACATATTAAAACTACTTTATTCCCACTGATCACAGCAAATATAGCTGCAAGGCAGAGAAAGGATAGTGAAGCTCCGCCCAACGCGCGTCAGAGCCACTTTTGGACCGCGCAGCGAGAGCAGCAAAGCTGCTTCAGACGCGCGTCAGAATTCACTGGTACAAGCAGCAAAAATGAAGCAGCAGACGCGATTTTGCTGCTTTTGCTGCCCCCGGTGTGAACGCAGCATTAGAGTGACAACCAATATTTTTTTTCTTCATACGGTCTAATATTAACTTTTTTGTTGTTTTATAAATTCTAAAAAAAATTAGCTTTATGATTCAGCCTCTAATATTTAAGCGTAAAGCACTGTTTTCATTCTTCCACACTAGAAGCTAAAAAGGCTTTCAGTAAAACTTTTTGACCTGATACTTTCAAACAGGTTTCAGTTCTTCAGGAAATTCAGAGCAGTTCTTTCAAGTAAATGTGGTTTTATTATTGTTACCCGTGTATTTTTGATATTGTAAAATATGCCGTTTTTAATCAAGCTTCTCATTTATTAGTATCCATTCAGCCATTACATTTATCTCACATGTCTTTCAGTAACAGTTATCAAGTAGAACAGCGCCTCCTGAAACACGCTGTAGCCATTGTTAACAACTTCTCCAAAAAGAGGAGAAATGTCTGGAAAACTCTCTTCAAATAGCTGCTCAGCTCGGCATCAGTCTCCCTCTGGTGAAAATGGGTCAGAGCCAAAGGCGGAACCCAAAGTCAGGGAGGACCCCGGCTCCTGCGAGTCAGGGAG